TTCTGTATTTAAGCACGGTTCATTTATTAATGGTACATATTTCAAAGGAATGTGATTATTCTAAAAACAAACAAAATTCGGATTTATTTTGTCTCTTTCAGCTTCATTATAGTCTGATCACTTTTTGAACTGTCAGCTATTACATAGTTTCCCAAATGCAGTATTTTTACAGTACAATTTGTTAACAGATAATAACATTTTTTAGCCCCAAAGAGAATTAACCAAATGGATTATTAATCTCAAAACGGGATTTTACGTCTTCCAATGTATACAGCTGTATCACCTTTTAAATTTTTGCCACCATATATTATCGTCGTGTATTATTTTTAAAGAAATTAAAAATCCTTAAATGAAGCTTCGGAAATAATGGTGGGGGGGGGGGAAACACTGGATTCCATACTGTTTTCCTTTTTTTAAGTTGATATAACTTTAAAATTTAGTTCAAAATTAAGTAACATTTAAAAGCAAGATTTTTTCCTCTAAATTCAGTGCCATACTTTTTATATTGAGTGTGGTTTAACTGCAGTATTCGATTAACAGATAAAACTTTGTTTTGATCCTGAGGATAAGCATGCATTTTGAAATTGTTACAGCTAATTTAATAATTACAAAGAAAATGCTATTATTGTAGATTTCATAATATCACTAGCATTCTTGTTTTGCGGAAAGATGTTCAGAAAACATGTGCATTAGTTGCCAAAAGAAACCTGAAAATGAATCATTTTGAACGTTACTTATTTAAGAGAGTTCCTTCACACAAATAGCATAATGTAAAGGAGACCGAGGGTAACTTCATTTAGTTCACAATTAACTTGCTCAGGATCATTAGAAAGTGCATTACATCTGTAATCTCATGCCAGCAGAAATTTCTCTTAACTACATAAAATTGCTACTTAAAATTAATATTACAGTACAATGCAGTCTTGCATCTGAATTTAGATTTTCACTTACACTTGACAGAACAAGTGCTGGCTTTAGTCTAACAGAATGCTATACTTAGATCCCCGCCCTTTGTCCACTAGGGGACTTAAAAATTCCTCTCAGGGCAGGGGGTGTCTAAAGTCCAAAGACCAGCCGCTACCCCCCGCAGTCTCCGCCCGTCTTTATACAAAACATTGGGCAAAGCAATAAAAACAATGCAAAAGAAATATGCTAAGACACATTTGCCTCCGGGCCCTACTCTATCAGCAAACATGGATTTGAATTGATGCTCTGTCAGTCTCCCATCACAAGAATGGGGTCAACCCCCCCCCCGAGGACTTGGTCAGTGATTTCCGATCTAGCTCCACAACACCTAAAGAAATGGACACAACAGTACCAATATAGTCCCTGCCAACCTCTGAATGAATGGGGGCTTTAGTCCTGTGAAGACTGATTTTATACCCTGATGGTTGAGACTAAGTACAGATCCTAGCTAGTACTTCTCAGAAATTCTCCTGAGTCAATCCCCAGGGGGCCATTAGTCTGACAGTCAGTTACACTTTGGAGCATTCATTACTGTATTTTTTTTAAATGGAACTGAAATTTTAAGAAAAATGTAAACATATTGCCACTTTTGTATGTGAAGCTATGAACTTGGAATTTTTATTTTATTATTTTTGTATTTCTCAGTTTTTTTTTTTTTTTTTTTTGACTAACAATATTTTCAGCTTGCTCTAGTACCATTACTGAATAGTGATATGACTGGAATTTTAAAATTATTTAAAAAGCACTAAATTGCACACTCTAGGAAGCTGCACTTCTGCAAAACTATGAATTGCTGTGAGCAGTATCGATCTTAGACCATGGGCTTACCTGTGATAATTAAAATTGTCTGCCCCTTTTTACAGAAATATAATATGTTTGATACTCATTTCGCCGCCCTTAAATTTGGCCACCCAGGTGCTGCACACAATCTTGCCGTTCCCTCTTCATGCTAGGATCAGCCCTGGCTGTGAGGCACGTAATTTTCTGTACGGTTACGATTTAAGTCTCTCTTCTAGAATATTGGACTTCAAACAGTAGTAGAGATATATTATGCGAGTTCAAAAGCTTTACGCATTTTTTAAAATGCAGATAAAGAGTGGATTCCAAGATGGACATGATGTTATGATGCCTGGAATTTTCAACTGATAAACGTGCAGCCAGTAATAAAAATCAGACAGCTCTTTCTGATATTTATCTTTAAAATAATACATATTAGCTAGATTGTGCAAGTGTGGTAGAAGCAATTCTACAGACTAGCAAACCAAAACATTCGGCATTTATGCTGGCAGGGTGGAGACTGAAACTATAAAGACCAGCCACATTTTGGACGAATGTCTAGCGATAGTTTGATTTATGTCTATCGATAGCGTCTTGGCAGATTCTGGACAAAACCAGGTCGAATGCTTCGTATCCATCTGTTGAGGAATCAATGGAAACGCTATTCTTCTAAAATGCTATCAAACTGCTTAGGACTGCGTGTCATGTAGCAGAACCTGCTTCATTCACTTCCATAGAAAGACTGCATCACAAAAATATTTTGTTAAGTGCATGGTGGCATATAAAGAATATACACTGGGAGTTATGTCCATGAAACCAAACCAATAAAGCTGCCATGGACGGGCCTAGCTGCTGGGCAGATTAATGCTGGCCGACATGCAATGCTAGCAGCTGGACAGAACAAGGCAAACATGATATGTAAGTGGCCAGCACTTACCAATCACAAAACCCATATTTTTCAACATAACACCAGACCTCATGCTGGTTTAACACTAAAATAGCCTGCTGACTTTGATTGGGACATTTTACCACATACAGCATGTTCTCCAGACCTTCCTTCAGACTGTGTTTTTTACTATTATTTCAGAGTTCTTTGGTTCTTTATGATGTCTAAAATGGTAAAGCTTAATTACAAGTTTTTTAACTCAGAAAAAATTTATCAGCGAGGAATTAATTTATTGTAAAGCAAATGGCAAGAGGTCGTACTAAATTATAGCAATTATGTAAATGTATGGAAGCTATCTCTATGAAAGCTAAGTAAGAGAAGTAAAATAAACAATGGTATAGAATTCAGTCAAATTACTATATCTAAAGTTCTGAACATGTCTAGAAAGCATGATTACTTGATTTTTGAATAGATATTTCAAATCTCACGAAAGTATAGTGACAGTTTGGAGGAGCATTAATGAAATTCATGTTAAATACATTTGAAAATCCAGAATATTTTATAAATAAGTTTTCTAAAATATATTCAAAATCAGAGCTCTGGAGTGAAATTGAGGATTGTCCCTAAAAGTCAAGATCATCTAGTCACTGTACTCTGTTCATGTTATCTTTTGTCTCTGAAGATTTCCGTAAGATTGGAATTATACTCTACCTTCAGGGATTTAATTATTAGAAGACATTAATATGAGAAAAGGCTGAAATTTTCTGATTAGTTTCTAAAAGTGCAAAATATGTACTAAATATTGTTAAATCTTATCCAAAATCTCATTACTTTGCGGTTTAATATTTTTTAAAATTTCATATGAAACTATAATCGGGACTAATGATCGAGTCACTTAATATCTTAGCGTTACTGATATTCATCACTAAGGATTCATTTTTATTTATTAATTCATAAATTTCTAAGAATTAAATGGACCTTTTTTTTTAAATGACTATTATGATTACTCCTTTCATTACATTAATCAGTTAAACCATGCATCTCAAAATCATTTTAAAAATTCCTTAGAAAGGTTTTAAACATCTTGCATTTTGTGTTTATTCTTGTAATAAAAAATGTAGCAGTTAATAGTAGTTAGGTTTATATATATGCAGTCAAAAGAGGGCATAAAGAGGGCATAAATGAATACACAGCTTTGCTTAAAATACTGTATAAAATAACAGTATTTTAAACACAGCTATGTACTCAGTCAAAAGAGGATGTATGTATAGCGTCTTCACCATCCTTGTAAAATATGGAATTCTTAAAAAAAAAGCTATTTTAAAAATTTTTTGACTTGTATCATTTTTTTAAGGCTAATTGAAGAAGTTTTCTGCAAAAACATTTCCAAAATTATAATTTCTTCATAGGATTCTCGGTTTGGTGTTGTGGTAGCATGTGTCTTGTTTTCCACCATAGCCCAACCATGGTGCGTAGGGGCAGCCAACCAACAAAGATGAGAAATTTTTTTGTGCGATGCCTAACAATGCGGCAGATTGCACAAAGATAAATTTATTCATGCAATCCCCCCCCACACACACATGATTAGCAGTCTTCAATCTGTTATCAGGTTTGAGACGACATGCTCTGACATTGCAGAAGCAATGATTATTTCAGCTATGGCTCCTCTTGACGTTACAAGACTCGCAACTTCACGGTCGGTGTTAAGGGGTTTTAGTGATTTGCATTGTGTCTGTCACGAAAGCCTCTCAATTTAAGGGAGGCTGAAGGCCCTGGGAAAATATTGCTCCTGTGATATTGTTTCAACTATAATGAATCACAGGACATAAAAAACTACCAAACAATCAAAGGGGCATGACTAATTGAGTCCGCAAACTGTTTTAGACAAGGTAAGGCTGAGAATGCTCTTAAACTCTTGACTAGAGAGACTCTTGCCACTAGCAAGGTCCTCACATAATGAGGACAACAGCGAACAGTACTTGTTTGTATGCCTTCAGTTACATTTATGTATTGTTATAGAACTTTTCATAGATTCATAATAAATGTATTTAATTTTGTATGCACTAAATAATACACAACCTAAATATAATGCATACTGGCCAGTTAGAGTCATTACATGAAGTCATCTCATCAATGCAACCACCGTCACCACTCCATATGTATTTTCTATAATGTATGCATATTCTATTATTACTTTATGATAGCAAAACTTTTAAGAACCATAAAACTTTCAAAAACCATTTAAGCTTAATTTGAAATATATACTCAGATTTCATTAGAAAAACCGTAGAAATGGGCTGAAGTGAAATAATATACTTTTATTTGCTTTTTAATAACTTGCACATCATGCTACAGAACGTAATATTTTTAGGTCATCTGTTGAAAATTCTCCAGAACATGAATCAAAGGAGAAGCTGAGCAAAAATTATGCCAAAAAAAGTGTTAAGAAGGAAGCATCACCTCGGGAAGGTAAAGCTGAATCTAAGGAAGTAAAAGATAGATCTAAATCTTCCAGTAATGCTGATAAAAGTGGTAAGTTAGCTGGAGATCATGGTAGAAGACATAAGAGTGCAAAGCATAAACAGAGCATATCACCTTCCAGCAGCAGCAGTAGCAGCAGTAAATCAAAAGTTAAAAGAGTTAGATCAAAATCTGCCAAAACTCCTGAGAAGCATAAGTTAGTTGAAGAAGCTGCAAAAGGTCGAGATATTGCAAAACATAAACGGGGTGCCTCATCTACATCCAGCAGTAGCAGTAGTAGCTCAAGGTATGTGGGAAAAAGTTTCTATTATCTCTCTTATCTGTGGGTAATTGAAAGTGTAATATATTCTTTTGAATCAGTGTGTAATAGTTTTCTTAAATCATTGTTTAATATCATGGAGACTTATTGTTTAATATCATGGAGACTTAAGATGTAAACATTAGTGTACTGCATGTTTAAAGAAAATTTTTTTCCCTATAATTATTTTTCTGGTTTTAAAATGTGCATTACATTATATGGTTATAAAATTATAGTGTAGAGCTTTAAATTAAAGACAGTGTAGAGAGGATATACTCCATACATCTGTGATCTTTCTAAATAGAGACTTAGTAGTACTCTTTATGTATATGCTATATTTGTTTCAAAAGGTTCAGCTGATTCAGAAACAGTTGTGTAGAGTTTTCCTCATAGTCTTTGTTCATTTTAAGCTCTATTTTTATAGTATTAGTTGCTGAATTACTGCAAGTTAACATTACTGTTATTTCTGCATTGGAAAGAAAATAATTTTTGAATCAAAACAAATTGCCACTGATAACCTTTTTAGGTTTTGTGTCGGGAAAATATACCAATACCACCACCGTAACAAACTAAATCTGTGTAGGTTAAAATTTCAGATTGCTTGAAGGCCAAGTTGAGCCTTGATATTTATTAATGTCAGTGTGTAGACTAATTTAGGATTTAGAATGAAAATATTTTATTTATATCTATTTAAAAGGAGATTTAGAAATAATTTTCCCATTTCTTCCTTTATTGTTTTCTCTTGTTAATGTTCAGAGTATCATTAATATTTTTGTTCGTAAAATTCATTGCTTTTCACTTTTATTGTACTGTATTGTATAGAATTTGCACACTGTTGCAGACTGAATTTTATGAAATTTAAGGAGTATAATGTAAAGTACATAATAAAATTCACTTAAGTTTGCTTAAATTCTTATTATTCTTATTATTCTTAAATTCTTATTCTTTACACTTAATTCACTTAAATTGCTGCTTGCTGTCTCTTTTTTCCAAATTTCATCACTTTCTGACCACTCCTTGGTGTTGCATTTTCAATGTCGAGCAGTGTACATAAGCCTTATATTATTCGCTTATTTGAACCAAAATTCTGTTTAATCAGACCAATAAACGTGAGAGCGAATAAGAAACAGAAGCCACAAGTCGGCCACATACAGCGGATGTACAGGTGGTCTGCGACATATGGGAGGATCTGTAGTTGCGGCTTCCCAGGAAAATGCTTTATAAAAGGTCAGGAATTTCTTAAAGTGCATGACAAAAGCAAAACCGGTGGGAGGTGAACACGTGCACCATTTTCTTTGACCTACCTGTGCCTCCAAGTTTTGAGAAAAGGAACAATAGAGTGTCCATCTTCACCTGAAAGGAATTCCTGCCTGTCAATCATGATTAAAGTTTACACAAGAAAGCTATCATTTCATTACCATTTTGGGATGGTTTTAGTGCCAAAGCTTTGAATGGCAAGCATTTTATTTTCCTCTTGACCTCAACATCTTGAACCCGAAACACCAAGGTTTCTTCAGACCACTTTAGTCTGTGAACTGTGCACGTGTCGTGTCTCCCCTGCCAAAATGATAAAATGATGTGACGGGACTTGACGTTAGCTGAAAAAAATTGTTTTCCTGGATAAGATCAAGCAACAACCACGAAACACTAGTCAGCATTGGTTAGTGAAAATTACCGGATTCGCAAGGACTACAATTTCACGCTTGATAAAACAAGAGAATGAATGAGCTGCGAGAATAATGGGCAAAATGTGAAGGACGAGGAGGAACTTTTAAAAGACGGAAGCGTGAAGCCAAGGATCCAGACATCGCTGATGCCCTTGTGAGTAAGTTATTGGTAAGCCATTGTTATTGGCTGAGCTTTGCTTTAAAGTCATCGGACTTTAAAGCTATGGACGGTTGGTTGTCTTGATGGAAATTTAGACATGACATAAAATTCAAGAAAGCACATGGCGAGAAAATGACAACACAGGATGCGAGGAAATGCATTGAAACTGTGTGTCGGTATTTCATGCAGGAGGGAAATGAAGGCAGTCCCATTGCTGCGTTAGATGCTTGTGGCGATTTCGTTCACGTACATCAAGAGAACGCGTCAGATCACTTTGGGTAAGTTCTTCAAATGTTGATTGGAACTTGGTAAGAAATTGTTTTTATTGTGCTTCACATGTTGAGTATCATGGAGATTGTTTCCTAGAATTCGTTTCTAAATTAATTTTCTCAATAAAAAAAGTTCGACTGTATTTTCTTGTTTGTACATGTATGTTTGTCATACGTGTGTACCGCACCATAAAGTTCATAATTATACTTTAGTACATGATTTACATGTACATTTACTGTTTGCTACATATAGCACGTCCCGTCTTACAACGTAGGACATGTTCGTGTAATCGGTCCAGCCAGTTATTAGGACCAAAACGATCGCTTCTTGGTGTTGTCCGATTGACCGAAATCGACTGTATTTAAATTTTTTTTAAATCAAAAACGGTTAACTGCTATTCAATAACGAAGAGATGTATAAAGAGCGGTGGAGATTGTGTATTTACTTCTTGGCTTTCATTTGCAGCTTTTGAGTTTTACAACTCAATTTAAGCAAGCGTTTTTTAAGATAATAGCATAAATGTAAAAGAAGTTTTTTTTGTTTGTTTTTGGTTTTCAGCTTAACTAAATTAGATAATTGGTTGTTGTAAGTTAAAGTGCTAAAATGTTATTGTACATTCTTGGTTTTTGTTGATGTATCCCTTGTAATACTAAACTTGATTATTTCTATCATCTGCAACATTGTGAACTTTTTTTAATTATTTGGCTGGCTAGTGTTGTAAACTAGACACTTCAAATTAACACAGATTCACCCTAGGTTCTATTCCCAGCAGTTGAGCTTACTGGATGCAACAGGTTTCCATAGGTTTTCACATATATAACATAAATCTGGGCTACTTTCCCTTTAAAAGTTTTCCATGAAGGTATCTTTTTCCCATAGACTTATTGTCAAAGTATGCCTTACAGTAGTCTAATAATCATATCCAATTCTCTTCATTGGATCACCAAACACTTTAATTGATAATGTTCTTAACACATATTGTAGATAACTCATGATATAACAGCATGTTTATATAAATTATTTTGTGTAATTGAAGTTATTGTAAATATGAATAAAAATGAATGTCACTTTTAAAAAATATTTTTTAGGTCATCAGATGTGTCATCTCCAGAACATGTGCCTGAAAATCAGGAGAAAATTCATGATTCTCCCGAAATTGTGCCTGAACCTCCCCTGAATGAAGCTAAAGAGGTAGAGAAAGTGAAGTCTGACAGCAGTGGTGAAGAAAGGCAGAGGAAACGCGGAAGAACAAAATTTCGAAATAGTAGAGAATCATCTGGTAATAGTAGTAGCAGTAGTAGCAAGAGTTCTGAAGAAATGTAAGTGATTCTTTACTTTTTAAAAAAATTATTCACTTCTAAAAATGTTAAATCAAAATCTGTTGGTAACATATAAAACTCAGTTTTCATTGAGAGGAAATTTGTGTAAAGAGACAATCATTTACATTGCGGTCCTGATAATGAAATAGAGCACACTTTGTATTAACTTTAATTGTGCTTTAATTTCATGAATGGCACTCTTTCAGATTTAGGTGATTAGAATTTGATTGATGAAATAATTTTTGTTGAAATCTAAAATATTTTATTTAAAGGGTTATAATTAAATGTATTTTGAAATAGTTAGGCTAATAGCTTTAAAGTATTAAATAGTTGAATGTTTAATGGTGTTACTTGCATGATAAGAATATATGAAATAACCAGATTTCTATAGTTTTAAAACGAGATAAATTTTAATTGTGAGACTTTTTCAACGTAATGTCAGTTTCAGTGTAATATAGTCATCAGTTAAATTGAACAATTGCAATAACTTCTCAAATCATTACATGATGGATGATTTCTTTTATCTCACAGTAATTGTCAGATTTAAGAATTGTTTTAGTGTAATTAAAATTTTGTAGCTTATGACAATGAATGAACTTTTTTTTGAGAAAGTGTGGAGGTTGCTTTATATCAGTCATTTATTTCTCTTTAGTAGGAGGGGGAAATTCAAAATGATTTGTAGTACGAAAATATAAAGCACATTAAAAAATAAAAGTAACAAAATTTAATTTTTAAAGTGCATCACTTGGGCTGTGAATACATGCTCTATCATACCATTGAGACAAAATTTTTTGTATATTTGTTATACACTTTTGCTACCAATGCATACTGAGAAAATGCAGTTACCCTATTTGCTAAAATTTCTGTTTGTTAGCAGAGTGTTCTGCTTGATCATGCTTTGTAACAATGCTCTGCTGCATTTGCACATCTGCTTCAGTACTGCTGCCCAAATCTGCTAAAACTTTGAATGGGACATTAGGGAGCACCATCATATAGCTGCAACTTTACCCCTGAAAATTCCCACATAGCACAAAAACATCCTTGGTATTAATTCTGAAGTCAAACAACAAAAATCAGCGTTATATTTTCAAAATTTTCACAGGACTAGTGTCGATGGTTTTACCGAACCACCATCCCTGCATCATTAGAAAGTCAAGAAGTTCTTTTAAAATTCTATCTTTCTGCACACATATTAAAAAATAGATTACCATTATTACACCTTATTATCAGTTTGAAAAGTGAGTCATATGTCAGATCTTGGTTGTGAAAGAAAGATACAAAATAATAGATTATTGAAAAGTGATGTATATAGTGTTTAGATATGATTAAATGGAACAGAAAATTTATTGTTATAATTACATTTTTAATGAAATAAATTATTTTAATATTTTACAATATTTAAGGTATGGCATTAAATGCAGAACTACATGCACAAACAAGAGTTAAAAAATTTGAAAAAAAAAAGGAAAGCAAGAAATAACATAAAAAAAATTTCGAAAACATGAAAAACTTAATTTAACATCCTTTTTACTAATTATAAATTTTATGCTTCTTCATCCAAAATTAAATTGAAATTAACCAAAACCAGTTTGACTGACCTTCAGCTGCAGTTTTTTCAAGCTTGAATACCAAATTCTCTTCTGCATGGTAATAACATCCTAACCAGTTAAGATCCCTACAGAAAGTTTGATAAAATAATAAACAGAATAATGAATTAATAGAACAGAATAGAACAATTAACAGAAAAGTGTAGAACATTATTTAAAATTTTGGTACCTTCTGACTATCTGCAGAACTGTGAAAATTGGTAATTTTGAGATTTGGTAAAATGTTTGTTTGCTTTATGGTTCATACCTACTGCTCTGTTCACAGACAGTAATAAAAATAAACATTTTATAACAAACAATAAATTTTAGGAGACCAAAAAGGAAACTATATGGCTGATATTCACATATTTTTCAGCCAGTGAAATGCTATGCAGAAATAAAGATTAAATTTAAAGCATGTAAATATACATGTGTGTGGTATGCATATTATATTCATGGTTTTCTATTATCGTGTGTATACACCTCCAGTTTTAGCAAATATTGTGAGTACAGATCATCAGAAAGTACCAAAATTTTTCGTGTATAAGAAGAGATTACCCTAACAATAGTATCGCAATTTTTTAGCACTGACATTTATAATAGTGCATTAGAATATTGCATTAGATGTAGTGTAGTTATATATATAATAAAAAGCTAATTGCATATTATTAAAAGTTTTAACCTTTATTATTAAACAGAATTCTTTCATATGAACATCTGAAAATCCATTTTTCATTCTCAACCAAAAGATAAATAAATAAGAAATAATAAAAACATGTATATTTCTCATGAAGGTAAATAAATAAGGAATAACAAAAATATGTATATTTCTCATGAAGCCATCATTTCCTAAGATGCCCACTTCTGAAAGCTCCCAGTATTACTCAGGATATAGTTAAATTATTGAAGCATCGGTGATAGTCATGTTTGTTAATGTGACAATATCACTTGCACTTTTTTGGTACCATAAGTAATGAGTAGACTTTGATAAATCTTACTGCTTTGATAACTGATACATGCCACATTTATCTATAATTTGTATAAATAATAAATATAAAGGATATTTTTAAAATAGGCTCTTAGAAATAATTTGGTATGTTATTTAATAGAATAATGGCTTGACTAGTGATTCAAGAAGTCATTCAAATTTCAGCTTGTATTAAAATAAAAACTGTAACATAAAGATAAGCAAATTTCCTTACAAACAATGTATTTTAACATTATTCAATGATTGGCAATCACACAGTACTGATTGCTTCAATAAACATTACTGTAATTGTTTTATTTTCTTAATTAAAACATTTCAGTCTTTTTGTCTTCCTCCTCCTAACACACAAAGAAAACCTAGATGAGAAATATATTAAATCATAATTCATGATTTAAAATATTAGTAAAAATAAAATACATTATTGAATGACATTTTATTAAATTACACTTATAAACATTTTATGTTAATTACACTTATAAAGGAAATTTAAAAATTATCAATAAGTATATAATAATGACAATACTGCAGTAACATGAACTTAATATTTAACTGTATATCACAATAAAATAAACCAGCATATAATAATAGTGCAGTGGTTTCTAAAACAATGGGCAGGTTGAAAAAATACATTTATCATGGTAGGGTATTCAATTTCTTCAGGTTTCCTAATATCCTCATGTTTATTTTACATAACTAAAGTATTTAAAATACAATAAAAATGCTAAGAATATTTATGAGAAAACCTTAAAAGCAGATGTAAGCATTTGTTTAAATGGCCATATTTTATCTTCAGTGAGTGACAAGTCAAATCTTAATGATATGTAATTTAGAAAAGTGCTTAATATTTTATTATATATTCAAAAACATTTAAGAAAAGCTTTTAGTCCTCGACGTTTTAAAACTGAATTATAAACTAGATTAAGATACGATTTCAACCATGCATATTTTGATAAAACTGCAAACTCTTTTTTTATATAATTATTTAAACTATTTAATATAAATTTATTGCTTCAGTAAAGTAAAAAGCAATCTGATGATACATAATATTTTGAATGTATAAACTAGACTAAAAAATTTCATCTGTACAATTAATTGATACCGATAATACTAGTGCTTCAAATTTGGTTTCGTATGGTGTTTTTTAAAATTTATTTGAAGAAAAACTACTAAATATTAAAGACATGACTTTAGTTTTTTTCACATTTCATGCAATAAACTGAAATTATGAAAGCAAAATTCACAAAACATTCCTTTTTGTTTGTTTAAACAGCTTCAGAATGAAATAATTTGAATTTTAGAGCTATTCTATAAAATACATTATATGAAATGCAATTTAAATTAAATATAACTTCCATCCATGATATTTACTAAGCAGCGAGATCGAAGGTAGGACACTTCAGTAGCATAATAACAGGCTTAATCTTAAACCTTCAGACTTTTTAATCATGTCTTGCATTATCTATTAGAAATTTTACCATTTGGAATATAGCAAAAATATTAAAAAATCCTCAAATGCTGTTAAAATAAAGTGTTCAAACACAAAGAAATAAAACAAATCCTAAGCTTAATACTATAAAATTTGCATCTGAAGTAAAACATTTTGTAATGGAAGTTAATCACGAAACTGCCAGATAGCATAGAGATACCATGCTCAAAACGCAAGAAGAAAATTTTTTGTAAATAAAGAATTTGAATCTAGCATATGCAAAATGCATGATAAACATTTGTCTTATTTGGCATAATGTAATAGTCACAGATGAACAGGAATTTAGTATGTTTAGATAAGATGAATTATTATGTGATGTAAGGCATCATGAAAAGAATTTAAAAAAAAAAATTTTACTACCATTAAAAAACGAAGGTTAAGGGATGTTTTACTGCAGTTGGCGTAGGAAGTTCTCATACAAAAGCAGTACAGATCAGGATAAAAGTATAGAGCTTCTGAATGAAATTTTTTAAAAAATGTGCCAAAAACTGTGTGTTTAAGTTCTGTTTTAAGATTCAAAATATAAGAGTTCTAAATGTTCTACTGGCCTGAAGTTAACAACATTTCTCAGCATTCTCCAAATTCAAACCCTATCAAAACTGGAAAACAGAAAAGGAAAATATATTTCTTAAAAAGCTAAACTGGAAATAATTATGATGAAAAGAGGAAATAAAATAGCCTAGTACTACATAAAGACATTTGTTGAATTTATGAGAAAAATGATGCGAAATGTAATTTAATTAAAAGAACAATGAAGTAAATATTTTTTTTCTTTGTGAATTTTGTTAACTATCAATTGTGTGTTTTCTGTATAACACTTAACCATTTTTTATTCATATGCTACCTTTGAGACTTTCATTTATATTTTTTCTTGTAATTTCAAAATAAACTCATCCTCATTCTAATCAATTTACCTAGAAGTAAAAAAATTTTTTCTTCC